TTCTTCAATTGTATGAATATACTTTTAAAGAAAATTATAATTAAATATAGCTTTGTAAAGAAACGTACATAAAAATATAAAATATTCTTTACTTTTTAAATCTTAAAACAATGCACTTAGTCAAATAGTTCCCTACGAGTGGCTAACGGATGGAATCGAAGACAGAGTGTACATACACGGATGGAATCGTTGCAGAGTGTGCATACACGCGGACTGCCAAATCCCCAGGGTGCCGATACCGGTCAATGTCAAATACCTCTTTTGTCGCATCATTAGTATATCTCAAAGCACGCCACAGGGCCGTTGTAGATTTTAAACGTTTCTCACCATAGCTGTAAAAATTTAAATATGTTAAACTTAATTGTCATTTGTTTTCTAAGTAATTTGTTTTAGGACCAAGTGTCCTCAGAAATTTCCAAAATTTACAACTTTTCGGTCACTCTCGTTGAACTGGAAAAATTTGTCTTTATTACATTAATAATACGAAGAAATCAGTCGCCACTGTACTCGGCTGGAAATTTAAGGAAAATAAATTCTAGAGCTTATTCTGTACATCGCGCATCTCTCTCATTCATTAAATTTAGTTGTAAATGATGCTGTCAAAGTAACAGTTAATTTTTTAACATTGTACAAGGATTGTACACGTTTTTTTCTATATTCCCTTAAAGATGTGATATACGAAATCGTAATATCACTGATTTAACATAGAAATCCGGAAGAGCGGAATAAAAATATCAAATATTTTAATGGATTTTTTAAAACTCCTGTCAACTATACAGAACTATCGTAAAAACGTACCAGTAAATTCTTATCGGTTGGGTTAAGTTATAAATCTACTCGCGATTCACGTAATCGGGCGAGGGCGGCGGCTAACGGCCCAGAACCGGTCCCGGATAGAATTGGATGAGGTATGTGTGTAGCATCCACCCGAGGTCCTAGGCTTCCACCGGCTAAACCGGGTGAAGTTGGTGCTCTGTAAAGCGCATGAGCGAATCTGGCTTTTTGGATGCTGACAATACAGCACTAATATTCCGAAATACAATCTTAGCTTTTTTCACGTGTAGTATAGAAAATTATAATAAGATACATAATGCGGTTATAATAAAATATTGTGCGATTATTTTCATATAATTAAAATTAATATGTATTTATTTTTTAGAAAATACAAGGGAAGCCGCGCATCCACCGCTTCCAATGACGGTACGCCACTGATTTTCTGTCCGGCAAACAAAAATGATATTTCGTGATTGATTTACGTGCACGCAATCTCAGAATAAAACACACAAACCGTATGCAATATCTTAATATATTCTGTTGTGGCAATAAAATAATATTCATAAAGATTTGAAATCACTTACTACTGAAATTTGTCAAAATTGCGACTTGCAGAATCATAACTTTTCATCTATTATTGCAAAGTGTTCCCGTCAGTTTCTTTTTTATGTATTCCCGAAGTCGAACTTTTTGATATCCAAGCGGTCTTCGTCCCTGAACACTGGGAATTCGGTCGTGGGTTCGGGACTCGCTCGGACGTGCCGACCACGTGTTTTCTCATCTGTAACGCCTGAATAGAAACCAGGTTTCCCTTAAAAGACCAATCGGAAGACATTATTCCCCCGGCGTGCGCATGGCCATTCCATCTGTAAGGCCGGCTAATAGGACGCATGCGTCCATATTTTCGTTCTCGGAGTAAATAGCTTACATGAGACTCAAACTCCATAATAACCATTCACCGAAAGAAATAACTGTTTGGTCTTCGTTGAAAATTCTCTCATTTTTCACTTCCCCTTTCGAAAAAATTCGACTTATATTTTTGTTTCTTTTTGTTGATAATTTTACAGATAATTCCGCTGCGCTCAAATGATCGAATCCTTCGTTACTGAGGGGAGTGTAACAATGAAGATTTTCCTTCATTTAGTCGAAAATTAAGCTTATACACAGCGGCATCAGCTGTGTATAAGCTTGATGCAACTGTGTAATTCAAACGACACAAGTGCAGTCACTTCACCAATCGATTAATCGAATAGTAGGATAAAACTACATCTACAGTAACAAATCGCGACACTTCAATTTAACGTATTGATATGATTAGTTTAAAGTACTAACCTTTGCCAAAGTAAATCGTTATTATCTATCAGCATCGAGATGTATCAGATTTTTCATCCGTTTATCTTACATGCTCCACAGCGTTCGGATTGCTTAGAAAAATAGGCAAACAAGCACTAAAACTGGAAATAATTACAAATCCTCTTTTACAAGGAGTATCACATCTTTGTCCCCCACCATTTCGAGGAGTTTTGGCACAAAGATAAGTTCCCACCCATCAAACACCGAGACTTCAAACTATGGAAGATCTTACGCCCCAGAAGTGTTCGAAATAAAAATATCTGGAATATGTTATTGTTGCACAACGTAATATAGTGGTTATTTATGATACAGATGTTAGCATAAAGGTAAAGCTGTGCCTAATTTATTTACTAACCTTTCTTCAGTACACAACTTAACCGATGTGAAGATCGTTTCCCTTTCCAATAACGATAACGATTAAATGCAAAGTCGTCGCAAACTATTGTGCATTGGGAACGCAAAGCAGTCATCGTGCTGTAATCAGGCAAGTGTCCTAATTGGAACTGGTAAACTCTGGTATTGCGCGCATTTATCTGAAAGATTTTGCCATACAGAAGTGTATAAAAATTGCCGATTTTAACTTCGAGGCTATCGATATACGATTCATTTTAAGAATCACTATAACATTGGTAAAATAATAAGGCTAGTTAGTAGACCAGAGTTACAAGCAGCAGAGATTATTAAGTGGGAAGCAAAAGCCTTTCAGGATAACAAAATCTGTAACGACGACAGCTGTATAGACCAATTCAATACCGACCTGTTGTTTCCAATAAGAAATGACCTAAAAGAATTTCCACCTTCAAAAGTTGAAAAATCAATTTTCAGGTACGTTCAATCATCAAAAAATATGGCCCCACACAGCTATACTACGTTATTAATAGGATTTTGATATCGTTGGCAACGTTCTATGCTTAAAAGAGCTTCGGGCTAAAAATGCAAGAGGAAACTGATAGTGTCGCACACGTCACCGTCACTTGCAGAACATCAGGCAAAATGAGCCACTCTCTAAAATTCTTTTTTGAAAGTCCCAAAGTTTTCTTCGTGTGACATAAAAATTATTCGGTCCAGCTGTCAATACGCCTGAAATTACTTTTAATTAAAAACGTATTGGAAAACTGTATTACTCACGTGCAGCCTCCCGACACCGCTTTCGAAAATTCCTTGCCAGAGAAATTCTTATCGGACAAGAATTCCTAAATGCCAAAGAAATACACAACAATGACAACTGGAACACCCGCAAAGATGTTATGTGAAGGTGCAAGAGAGGTTGCAACTCAATATCTACTGACTTTTCAAGCCTAATTCATTACCCCGTGTTATGGCTTGACTGGTAGAAACTCCTCACGAAAGTGTGCTTCACATTTACAATGCCACCACTTCTCCCTTTATTATCATGTACTGTACTCCCGATCTCGTGTACTTAAGGGGTTTAAACAGCTAGCTAGGTTGCAACAGTTTTCTGTTTTGATCACTAGATGGCGACATTGGCTACGTATCACTTCACAACGTGGATGATAGACTGAAGAGCGAGGGTGAGGACAAACATGTCGTCAAACTCCTAGGCTTACAGGAAAGTGGCGCTGAACGTCCGACGTACACGTTTTCGCGTTTAAAACTTCGGCCTCAACCTCGCTAACAGTACGTAGGTGAGGTGTATGTATGAGGGGAAAAGTTAACAAATAAATGCAACAAAAGAAAATGATGATGAGCCGAAATTTTATTTCTTCAAATTAACCTCCAAAAAATCACTTATAATTACAAAGCACTAGTTTCACGACAGACTTCGATTTTATCTTCAATTACAGCCTTTGGGTTAGCATCGTACAGTCTTCCAGAGAACTTTGTTTTGACCTACTTAAAAATCGATATTTCAATTTGATTAATGTTTCCTTCGGGGGGGTTTGCATATACAAGAGAAATAGAGAGATATAGAGAGAGATATACTACTTGTGGATAATCACGCAGAGAAACAATGTCACACGTATAGCACAGTTACTGATTTATAAATATATTTAAATATACAGTGACCACAAGTTTGAAGCTTTGTTTTTTTTAAAACTGTTCACAATGTGTTTTTTTTTTACGGGCAAATGGATGGTACAGTACCTGGGATGGCCGGAGACCGGCTGCTCTCGTCCCCGCATCCAAACGACGGTTTCCCCATTCTCCTCTAAAGCGGAAGAATAATTTTGTTAAATTCCCACCGGCGAGTTGGGTTCTCTTCGAAAATCATACGGTGATGCACTGCGTGAATATGTTTAAAAATGCTTCGGACCGAAGCTTTTTGTTTATTTTTTACAAATACTAATCCTTTGAGGATGCGATTTGTTTCGATTAATGTTCCGCTTAACAAGATTTTTGTGCCACAAATTAAAAAATATCTAAGAAAAGGAACATCAATAAATTAAAATGAATTGAGCATACACTGCGTAATAATAATAATAATATAATAATAATAATAACCGGCATAAAACAAACTTTAAAATGAGCACATTCAAGTTTTGCATATATATATAATTAGATAATACAATATTTCTTTTAAAAAATAACAAGATTAATAAACTTCTTTGTCAACTTCATACAAATGTCATGATCTTAGCAAAAAAGAACAATGGAACTACTTTGAAAAAGGCATATTTTGTCAATTAAGCAACAAATTAACTCACCAAAACTTTTACAAATGCTCTTCTTTTTTTTTTTTTAATTTGGATGGTGATATAAATAATATACATTTTGATTTAACTGCATCTTAGAACTGTTTTAACAAAACTGTGAATTCATTTCCCCCCTTTAACAATGACATTTTAGTGAATTAAGTGATGCAATTCACACGACACAAAGTGTACAAAATATATCTTGGTCAGTTCTAGCACAGCATTATTTTTTTTTTGTGTATTTTTTCCAAAAATTGTCATTAAACAAGAACACATGCTTGAAGCCATTGGTTAATACATGTCAAACATTTTTTTTTGTCTCATTAGGAACTACAATAAACAGATTAACTATTTACAGAAACGAGTTCACCTATTACGTTCCTTTAAATGTCCCCCTTCACAAAATTACGTTGGCGATATAGTAAAAACAAACAAACGAATAATAAAAAGATCCTCCCGCGCCGCCCTTCGTCCGCGTAAGGTTCGGTTTCGACTCGTGTTCAATTAATCTCATTAGGTACTCTTAAAAAATTTACCTTACCTAAGTGCATTAAAGCATTTATATCCAGGTATTTGGCCGTTGTGGACTTTGAAAACAAAACAATTTTTTTTTAACCTGATGATCCATCTAAAGATAGGAAACATCACAGACAAGAAACTGGCTAGATGATTCCAAAAAAGGCAACAGAATATATATATGTTTAATATATATATAATATATATATATATTTTTATATTAAAGTCCTTTTAAACCAAAGGTTTGAACAGAGGCAATAAACTGCAAGCACCTGGTCCTAATTTTCTTGAATATTGCATTGCTTGTTTGTTCTTTCTTCCCTGTAATTTTGAATAAAGAAAACAATGATATTTAAGAATATATTCTGTAAATAGTGTGTTTATTCATGCCGAATGTATTGGTAATTAATAAATGAAAATATTTTTATTAGTCAAAATGAAATAACTGGATTGAGAAATGAGAAATTAAATTCTTGTTTCTCAAGCAGTCAACTACAGTGCAATAGTGATTTACAGAATCATGTTTAATAGTTTAATATAAATAGTAATTTTCAAGTTATTGTATTAAATCTTTGTACATACAATTGCTTTAACTGTATAAAAATTTTCATTTAGCTGCTGATTCATAAAACTTGGCCCTTTCCACGAATTCATGCGAGTCCAGAGAGGAAGTTAATGGGCAGTCTTTTCAAAGAATGAATTGTAGATCCCACCTGTGGACTGATGTAACTTGGTGGGGACAGAACATTTTGCTTTTTATATATTTACAGATTATGTATGTAACAAAAGTCGTATGAACTCACCAAAACAACTATACACAAGAAAATTCCTCCCCTATACAATGCATGTAAATTAGAATTAAAGTTAAAAAACATAATATTGCAATATCATTACAACAATTTATATGCATCAAACTGGCAGTAAAACTTACAGTAACACTCATAAAGTTATCCTCTGAACTTTTATGCATTTCCATAAAATACAGTAGACCCCCCTATAATGCTTAGATACGTTCCATGCTAACCGAAAATTACGTTGTAGGAATGATTAAATACGTGAGCCAATCGCAGCCCGATAGGTGGGAACTTAACGAACTAAGGCTGTACGAAAGGTTTTCTACTATAAAATTAACCGATTCTAGACTAATTCCACTCAACATTTCCAAAACACGTATAATTTTTTGGGAATAATCTGTATAAACTATGCTATAAACAAAAAATTGTAGGATTACTTACACCGTTCGACTACGCCGTTGCTTAAAGCTGGTTTTCATTGCGGAACAGCACGCGAAACGACGGCCGCAATTTCTGATAACGAATTTTTGGCGGAAAAATAACTTGACCTTTGGAGACATCATTAATATAAATAATTTTTATGGACGTTGAATAAGAAGTGTTTCTTTCACAAGAAATGTATAAAATTAGTGCTGTATTAGACTTANCCTGTAAATTCCAGGAAAGGGATCTCGATCATCATCATCATGTACGGTGGAGGGGGTGGTGCGCCATCGTGAAGAATCTCCCAGATTATGTACATCATCCACGTGGTTCCATTTTTAGGATAGGTTGTTACAAAGATATCATCCTCGGTTGGTTGATAAGCGATAGTTTCTAAAACTTTCTCCTCATCCAGAAACGGTTCCGGAAACGGAAACCCATTGATGTACTTCAGAGGGATTTTTGTTAATGGCTCATCTTTGTTCATTTTCGATTTCTGTGAATGATGTAACAATAATTTTAAATTTAAACGACACAATAATAAATTCTTAATGAATTGTTTTTCAATTTAGCGCGCAACTCTAGTCGGATTTTATCCTTAACCGCCTCAAGATAATCTACATTTCTATATATTTTTCGAGTTTATCGTAATAAAGGTTATCTCTTGCACGTGTTACAGTTCTAATACCCTATCTTCGAAAATAAGCCTACAGCACTAATTTGAGGCTCTCTGACACTATAAATTTCCTTTTAAAAAAATCTACACCATTTCTGAAATACCTCAGATTCTACTTATACATTTCACATTAACATTTAACTTAAAGAGTATCAAATTAACATTATAAACAAAGCAGCATCAGCTGTTTACACGCGTAAAAAAAACGACAAGTGCAGTCACTTCACCAATCGATTAATCGAATAGTAGGACAAAACTACATCTACAGTGAGAAATCACGACAATTCAATTTAACGTATTGATATGATTAGTTTAATGTACAGTACTAACCTTTGCCAAAGGAAATCGTTAGTATGTATCAGCACCGAAATGGGTAATACACAAGTGTGCTATCGGATTTTCATCCGGTTATCGGTAGATGTTCCACAGCGTTCGGATTGGCTAGACAAATATAGGAAGATTACGCAAAAAAAATCGTATCGTAACGAATTACGAGTCCACTCAGTTATAATATGCAAAGTTATAATACAATATTCAAATTCCTTTCCGCTCTCGTGGGTTTTAAATAGCTAGCTAGGGATGCAGCAGTTTGCCGTCTTGATCACTAGATGGCGCCATCAGCCAGGAATCAACAATACGTACTGTACTGTACTGTACTGTACGTGAATTACATAGCAGTGACGTGTGTGGAAAGAGGGAGAAATTAAACAAATAAACGTAACAAAAATGGCGATGAGCTGAAATTTTCGAATTAAGCTAAAAAAAAAAAAAAAATCGCACATAATTGCAAAACACTAGAGGACAGACTTCGATTTTATCTTCGTTACGACAATTTGGGTTAACTTCGAATAGTCTTCCGGAGAACTTTGCTTTGACCTACATAAAAATCGATATTTCAGTTTGATTAAGGTTTCCTTCGGGGGTTGCAAGAGCATATGTAAGAGAAATAGAGATGCGTAGTCTCGTAACGCAAGGCATTAAGCCGTGGCTTATTTAACTTATGTGCAAATGCTGCCCTACGGATGTCCGAAATTACATTCCTCATTTTTGGTCTCTAATTATATTTTACACTATGGTTTCGAGGTACAAATATCTAATCCACTACTACGGGTTTGACGTGCCTGACGGTTCTGTCTTAAAAGAATGGAAATAATTAGTTGGATGGATAGAATAACTAATGAGATGATTACGAGTGGGCCTGGAAAGGAACCTGATGGTCAGCATCTAGAGAAGAAAAACAGCATATGCTGGGCATATAATAAAAGGATCCTCGGGGAAACTGATAAAAGTTCAGGGAATGGTGGGCAGACGGAGAAAGAGAGGACCTAGGCGTAACAATAAAAAAAATACACTGGAGAAGAACTGTCCATCAACTGAAACCCTCTGTAAAGAGGACGTCATGTGAATGAATAAATTATATTCATTTATTCATTCACATTTATTAAATTATTTTAAAAAAATCAGATTACGTAACAAAATATAACAAATTCAAAAAGGTAACAAAATTAATTTTTTTACCTTTTTGAATTTGTTAAAAATAAACGGAAAAAAGTTTATCGCAAGCAAAATATCTGAAATTTTATCCTAAATATAAAAGAAAAGAGGAACAAAACTAATATTTAAAAAAAAATTTTAAATGTATTCGAGCTTATAACTTCAAACCTTTCTTCACTGGTCATAAATTATATAAAAATTAGAAAAATAAAATTTAAACTTGTTTAAATTTATGGCTTGTGTTGTGAAGCAGAAATTTTTAAAAATTGTTTTATTAACGCATTTGAGTTTTCTATTAAAAACACTAATTAGGAGATTTTATTTCTGATGAACTTATCTTATTTATTACTTTTTTAAATTCAGATTTTTTTGTTTTAAATTTTTGAATTAAAATTTTACCACTTCAAATACTAAGGTCATAAATCTTACAAGCTTAAATGTTTACTACAATTTAAGTCTTTTATAAATTTAAAATCAATTTTATTGGCAGGAATTACAAGCTAAAATATGTTTTTTAGATATTTTTTACTTTTAAAAAATAATTTAAAAATATAATTTAAATTTTTTTATTTATATTAATAATAATAAATTACATTTAATAACAATTTAAATTCTTTTAGAAACAGCTGAATATTTTGTTGAATTAATTAAT